CATGATGGCTGTCAGCTTTGCCAACATCCTCCTCTCACCCACCACTACCACAGGCTCCAGAGGACATCCCAGCACAGAGCTTGACCTCCGTATCAGTTTGTCCGTCCTATTCCTGTCCCTTTTGGTACATCCAGCCCCCCTGCAGACCACTCCATACTTGAATCAGATACTATATTTATGATTTTTTACTATAGCTCTGAAAATACTGTGGCATCCAGTTATGTTCTTTGCAACACACCACATCTTCAGAGCAAAAACTTGTAAACAGTAGCCCTTGAGAAGAATATCAATGAGGTAGAGGGGCTATCACGTGATTTTGGGTATGCTAAACACGACTCCATCAAGACACATTCATTCAACCATTGAACACAGACCCGCAATGCCGTGTCATTGTGCAGCATTTGCTTGCAGCAATCGTAGTGGAAAATGTTAGGACCTCATAACATTTCATCTGTATTTTTTTCTTTTAAATAAGAAGGCTATGTTAATATGTTCAGAATTAGACAAGAAATGGATCAAAATCAATTGTGAACTACATAAAATTTCCCACTGCTGGAGGGTGAAATTAAACTTTTTGTTTGTGTTTTTGTGTTTCTGTAGAGTCAAGAGGTGTGCCATTAAAACAAAGACAGAAGTGATGATTTGCACTCCTGATTGCTTACTAAAGTTTTGTGACAGTATGTGATATTCACACAACAGACACATTGTTATTTATCTAAATTTATTAAGCAAACGATAAAAGAAAGAAAAATACCCTGACATTTGCTTTGTGGATTGCTTACTAAAGCTCTAACAGTAAATATATTTATTTTTCACATTTTATGGACAATGTCGACCACACGTACAGCACATGGATCACCAAAACTTGCTCCGTTTGCTATGAACATCATAACATACATTGCAGATTTTATGGTGCGTCAGAATGTAACTGAGGTGTGTTGTGATGCGTGTAAATCATCTTTGGTCTCTAATGCTGTCCAACCTCAACATGATGATTTGTATCAGCTGTTTCAAATGAAAAGTAAAGGTGGGCTTGTTACACCCTCACAAGGTGTATGCACCTTTTAACTGCAGCAGAAAAAGGCATCARGCTTTTCATGAACATTTCCAAAGCAACAAATGTCTGCTCCCGACACAGAGTGTTAGTCTATGTAAAAAGTGAATGTGGGGATATCGATCCATTGTGCCTCGGAAAACATGTAGTGGAGTCTCAATATGGCATAGACAACCATTACTTTGACCTCATCCAACTCCTGGTGAACAGTTACTACACCATCAGGCAGAAACATGTTGCCAGATTATGTTGCCTCACAGCTTAAAAAAGAGTCTGTTCATCAGAAACAGACTAAGCTCATTCTCTTCAAAGGCCAATAATAAAATAAGGAAAAAAATCATTGAAAAATACAGTAAAGTACCGAATAACTATGGACTTGCATTTATTTTACAAATGATTGTCAATCTTATTATTGAACACAATTTTGTATTTTATTTTTAATTTTATATATTTTTTAGTTTATTGTGTATTCCTAAACAGTTTTTCAAAATGATGCTTTAAGCCTTGGTTTTTGTATTGTATTTTGAC